TCCACTCAGGTACCATTTACGAAACTGATACCTTATGATAACTTGATTAGAATAATGTCGTATCTGTATGATGTCGACAAGGGCACGAACAGTGGAGGGTGGGTAAGACGGTGTCCAAGCACTATTGATCTACGCCCACTCTTACCCCATTCAGTTACTTCCACATATGGATCGTGAATCAGACATGCTTACATTTGACCGAAGTTATGTTAGCATGGCGGGGCAGCTGAAGCGTCAAGATTATATCTCCGATGCAGCCTCCATCGTAACCCACGATCGGGCTCTGCTGCGGGCACCGAGTAGATCGGCACAAACTACACACCGTCCCGATGACACTATTCCGTAAGGAGACAACAATATATTGACTATGAGTCTATCCCCGCGTCATATGCCATATATACTCATGCATCAGAGTTGCGGTCATGATTGAGGGGAAGATATTACGATGACACAGATTGGGTGCGTGCTGTTGATAGGACCAATGCCAAGCAAGGGACACCACCAGGACGGGGTGTCCGGTCAAAATCTTGTGCACATTATCAACCGAGTTGTTATTGTAATGGCTTGGATAGCTGTCGAACCGGTTGTAAATATTGATATGTGACTTCTTGGTTAATGATCTACCAGTGGAGATCAACGTCGTTGTCGCTACCAGAATAAGCTCAGTGGGGTGAGACCAACCCACTCTGTGTATGACTCCAACCGCAAATCATACTCTATTCTTTTCGACTCAGCTCGCACTAAGGGTTTTCGTCTTCGGCAAATACCGAAGTACGGACTCGGATGCTATGCCGTCGCGTCGGGGCTTTCATCCTCCGCGGAGCCCAGATGCTGACTGTTAAGGTCCGACTCGCAAGGACTTTCCTTTTATAATCCGCATGTTTTGACAGGAATTTGTTTCAGTCTATATCACCATACCTGTCAGTAATATGTCCTAAATCAGTGAACTGCATGATGCATGCCGTTTACGCTGTGTGCGTTGCCCGACACCCTACATGTTTCATATTTCCCATCTTAGGCCAGTTACTCTGGACATTCGAGATCGATGTCCGTAGTACGTGCCTTTCGTCATCCGTAATGTTCAGTTGCTTTCATGGATCTCTTGTGAAATAACCGTGAAGGTAATACTGCATCAACACGCAAGGTTCTGCGTAAGGCACTGTGGTTAACATGAGCTAGTCGAGATTCGCAAACAGCCCAAATAGGTACGAGGTAGAATATCTCCCCCACCATTTTGGACATCTCTACTGGCCTTAGTTTTTGATATGAGTACAATGACTCCAGCTGCTCACATTTACTGGTCGCTCCACTTCGTAATGGGAACGTGATGTTTTGCGGCCCCTTCCAACGGAGAGGGATGGTATTTCTGACCATACTGAACTATCCAACCTCCTCGGAGATACATCTATTTGCATCCATGAATGTTCAAATTGCTTACCCATCCGCACTTTCGGAGTTGCCGACGTGCGACGTTCCTTGTTAGGTGAATGCAGCTGTCATACCCTAGTAGCATATGGGATGAGACGAATCATTCAGACTGCCCAGTATCGGTACTATTTCACCCTTCTGCCAGCCGAATGACATGCACATGCCAGCTGCGAGGCAGTAATATACCCGATAGCAAAACTTTCAACTTTCCTTTTGGGACATTGCATGCATATTGATGTTTCTGGAAGTCAGGAGGCGGGCTAAGCCGGGTAGAATGATTCGGCTTCGTGATCTACAGGTGGCTTTGAGGGGAGGGGTTTAAGTACATCCGGCGTTTATACCGAGTTAGCATCAGGACCCTTGTGACTATCACAATCTTTTCAATCGGCATCTCGTCGGTATTTTTTTTGGCATCATGCTTTTCAAGAATTTTGTGTACTTGGTGTTCGTTGCAGCGCATCTGATGTTGAAGATGACAGACGCTGGATTGCGAGAGATCTTAGGCTTGTTAATCTTCCTCGCGGTGTCTAGCATCCTCTTCATATTGATTAGACTGGTTATTGCCGCCTTATGGAGACAGCACTTGATTGTGCACAGCCCTCATCTGAGACCAGATTTCCTAGGCAGGCCTCTTTTGTTTCCAGCCAAGCTGTCTCATGCACGCAGATTTCCTGCAACTGAACGATACAACTACTGGTATGACTACTTCATGATAGGTATTCCAGTGGGGTTTCGCGGTCGGATTGGAAATCTCATCTCTATTGACAATCAGCCCACGTCGGAGAGCTTTCTGGAGAAATGCTGGTTTACCATCGACCCGGCTTACTATCTTGAACCTGGGAGTGGTGACCGAACGCTTGAAGAGAAGTTGCATATCTTCCTACATAATCAAGTAAGATTTGAGTCCTTCCTGCACTTTTGCTGAATCTCAAACTAACTTACTCAGGGCGAGAACCCTCAGGAATTTCCATACGCTTACATGATCAGCGTCCCGCGATTTTTATGGTGGCAGAAAAGTGCAATCAGTTACTGGTACCTCTATTCACCAACGCGAGCGTTGACTGCAATGATTATGGAGATTAACAACTCATTTTACGAAAAGAGGAACATTTTTTTCCGCTTGACTGAAGACGGCATGCCTGTTGATGAGACGCCACATCTTCCATCGACGATTATAGCCTCGGCCAAGGGGACCGGCGAGACGGTATCTCTCTGCTCTCTCTCCCCTGCTTCGAAGAGAAGATACTACAAAGGGTATTGGGATAAAGTAATTTTTGGTTCTCCTTTCGAAAAGGTTGGAGGATACATGCTTGCAAAGACTGTGGACATTCTCAAAGGGCCATCCCTCCAGTCCACCTTGAGCTCCAACAACCCAGATGGGCAGGTAAAAGTCACAAGTCGTCTCGCCTCTTGGGGTGATCCCGTCGATCCATTGATGGCTAGTGGTTGGGATATTGCTCGTTTTATTGCTCGTTGGACGCATGTTGGAGCATTGTCTGCGCCTCGCATTGTCAAGGAAGCTTTGCGGGTCCGCTTTCGTGGCAATCTGAAATATCTCCAAAGACCTGAGGTCCACCCTGGGACAAATCCACGAAAGGAAACTATTGTTGAGAGGTTAGTCAGATCTCCCTGTGTTCTGCATATATGTTTCTAACGTCTTCCATGTGTGGCAGATCTTTGGAATTTTTCTTTCGAGAATACCTGGCTCAACTCGCGGCTCATTGTACATTTCCATTGTGCATTGAGTACATACCCCCAAGATCGATAAACTTCGATCGTCTTACGTTCAACTCTCCTATTCCTCCCACATCCCACCCTAGACCCGTCCTGAAAATCGAGTCTTTGACACCACGGTTCTATACTTCATTTACAGATCACCCAGACGCCAAAACCGCCTTTGTTAGAGAAACAGCAGTGCGTCCCACAAACTCGGACCCAGATTCCCGCTACCTCAGCGTATCCGATCGCTCCCTCCTGGATAAACTTCTTGCTTCTTCAGGCTCCTCCATAGAGGCGAGCTTTAACAAAACCAGCAAGCCCATATCAACCCACCATACAGACAAAGGTGGGATAGCAACAGTGCTTCTCAGGTTCATTATCTCGAAACTGCGCAGATCTCCTCAGGAAACACTCATCGATCGATTCGTCTTTCACGATCATGGTCGGTTTTCATCATCCCAGCAATGGACTTACCTGGTTAGTGTTCTGCATTATCAATTGTCGCTTCGCCTTCCCATCGAGTCCCAAGCCATTGTAATGCTGGGTTACATCACTTCCCGTGCAATAATAGTTGACAGTCTATTGAATGCTTTCTACACTCTTTGGGCGCGGGAAGGCCTCGCAAACTGGGTTCGTGATGGGGCGCGCATGACTCCTTTTACGGGCGCTTTGGCGTTTGCGGGCTGGGACATGCTCAACAACTATGTCGGGCATTATTACACTAATCCATTCGCATGGGGGGAGGGTTTGTAAGATGCCAATGGCGGTAGGCAGGATGATCTCGGATGGGTCTGGTTCGATGTTATACTTGTGGCGTCATTTGAGAAAGTAATGTTATAGGACCACGGTGGGCTTTTAAAGGGTCTGGAGTAAATAATGGTTCAGCTAGGTCTCAGTCAAGATTGGTAGTAACACAGAATGTACGAGCTCATGCAAATATCCTAGATACTAGTAACACAACTCGCAATGATGCACCTGCCATAGAATCCAGGATGACATGCACGATATGATGAATATACTACAGGTAAAATGACTGTTTTGGGGACGAGGGATATTAGGGCAGAAGCAATCCAAAAGTCCCATGGAAACCATATCCGACCTGCTTGAAAGCACAAGAACCAAAAATACCCGCTTACAGGAGTCTTAGGGATACCCTACTAACTATCAACCAGAGGCATTGTGATTCCCAAAGGTTACCTTGGGCTACACAACATCAGAGTAGTTCTAGGTGAAACAGTCATGATTCTTGTATTCCCCTGTTCCAAGTCTTCGAGGGCTGGTCTCGGTCCTTCCGCTTCTGGAATCCCGGCCACGCCAGTTCTTCCTTGATCTCTAAATCTTGCAGATTCTTGGTTCTGCAACTTACTCCAAGCGGCAGTACCAGTTGGAACGCTCTCTTGATTTCGGCTGATACCACTTTACTTAATCTGGAACATGCACTAGTCTTTATCGGCAAGTATCCTTGAGATATGAACGCTCACTTGAACAAGGACAGGCAAGATATGCCGAGCGAGGCTTATTGTGTGAGTAAGAACTGAGAGAAGTATTCGGGTAGGACCGCCTCAATAAGGCTGAGACTTCGAGAACACCGAGGAATAACATTTCCTCTGCTGGAAGAACGGAACATCCCGCAAGTGCATTTGGCACTGAGCTTTAGGGGAAGTTTGTAAGGCGGGACTCCACGACCGCCAGGCACGGAGGTATAAATTAACTGGGCGATGTCATACATAAATTCAGCGTTGACGGGTCTCAACCTTCAACTTGGTCTCCGTGAGAAAGGGACTGTTCCCAGAATGTCCTACACATCCATGCTTAATTCATCACTCTTGCCTTCTCCCGGTCGTTCCGTCAACATGCTTCATTTGCTGGTTCTCTTGGTCCTCGTTGCTACAACTCTCGGGTACCGTCTAACCGAGTACACAGGCGAACGCTGCACAAAAGCTGAAGCTGGATTCCATCGGCTTGCAGGAGCTACTGCGTGCAGCAAACTCAATACTGTTGATGCAAAATCAATACTAGTGAAGGTTGACAATGTCTACGACGACCAACATTCAGTTATAGTGTACGAGAATGACGACTGCACTGGATCCGTCCTCGGAGTCATCGAGAACATGAACGGCTGCTTGAACCTCCATGGTCTTAACAATGTCGTCGGCAAATCCGTAAAGGTCATACCCGGTACCGTGGAATCCTCAGTATTTGCAAATGAAGGGTTTGAGACCAATTACCTATACAATCTCCCTCCGCAGGATAGAAGCCATGTTATGGTCCCTATTGCCCATGCTTTCTTCCGCACGGTAGACATAGCCAATCACGCGGACGACGGTACCTACGACGACGAAGCCTTTGACATATTCATCACCACTGAGCTTGATCATGTCCTCCGCTTGGAGAGCAACGTAGTAATGCCTCTCGCAGAATCTGACAGCTCAAAATCCACCCATCTCGAAAGGGTCGACCTACTCGAGCGGATATCAGGAGGGATGGAAGGGCTCGAGGCAATAGCAAATTCATTCGCGATGCAAGTGTCAGAGACAATGAGGGTCATCTATAATTCGTCGGCTCACCTTGCACAGGAAGTGGAAAATACATTCAAACGTGCCGCCGAGCGAGCATCGAGCAGGGGAGATTTTGACTTCTTGCACTCCCAAAAGAACCAGGGACGTCTGGTCAGGAGGTTGATTGACTCGGCTCAGTCGCAGGGCCTTACCAACGCGCAATGGAATCTGAAAGATAAGTGTGGCAGGACGTGGGAGGTAACACTCAAGATGAGAGAGCATAATGAGAATGAGGGCGGGTCATTATGGGGTTGGTAGTACCATTCGTCTCATTTGGATGTTCTAGTCTGTCTATTTACTCCCCAGACATGGTGTCTCTCAAGAATCTGCATTTCAGCATCATCACCATCCACCAGTTATGCCTCTGCTCAGCATTGGCAGACCAATCTTACTACATACGAACAGATTTCTTTGCCAACAGTCAGAAGAACAAGCGACACATTAAATAGAAAATCAAATCGACATGTATCAGTTGTCTTCCCTCCCCCAAGCGAAGTTGTTTACATCATTTAGTAATCTTAGAATATAATGCTACTAAACCGCTTGACCCACATAACAAGTCCGATGTGGTGTAACGGCTAACATCGCCGTCTTTCACACGGCAGCTCGGGGTTCGATTCCCCGCATCGGAGTTTCTTCTTTTGTTTTTCTTTTTCTGCGGTAAACAATAACACTAATTTCCACGATGGAAATTCCTTTTCGAGATAATTTCCTTTTCTCTCAGCTACAATGACATTCTGATTTTGTCTTTTTTTTACGCTCACTGATATACTCCACAGTTTCCGGCTACACTACAAACTAGTACTCACGCTACGTTGGGTCAGAATTGATCTCGCCTTGGTACTTGAGCGGTAACAATCATTAGGGCGCCGTTATATATAACGAAAGCTACCCATAACAAGCACTCAAACCAGGCAACCATAGGGGAACCAATATTACTACCAAAAATTATGACTTAGACTATTCAACTGAAATCGTGGCTCCTGCAAAGAGTATCAATATTCAACCAGTAGGAAACATTAATATATCATTAACAACCTAGAAAAATATGGGGAAAATGAACATGCTATCTACAAGGCAAACCCCTAATAACCACTCAATCCACCTCCCAATAACGGCAGAAAGAACAAGTCCCTAGAGCCACCACTCTCTCCCTTTAATCCCTCCAAGTAAGCAGCAACCCCGTCATCAATCCCATACTCAGCTGCCATACTCAACCACTCTTTCCATCCCAACTGTTGGAATTCCACCCCCTCCTCCTTCTCCAAGAACATCCTCAAATCACTGGCTTTGAACCGCTTCTCCCCACAAACATGCGAATATTGTACTTCAACCCCACTAGCATCATCACCACCAACAACCTTCCTCACCACCATCTCAGCCGCTTTCTTCACCCCGATCAAATCAATATATCCCCTCCAGGACCCAGTCTCAGGGATAGCTCTCATCCGCCGACTCAGATCCAACACAGATTCAATAACACCGCCACTCGTCGCTGAGATGGCTGCTTTCCCGTCTCCAGTAATAGCTGTAGGACGATAGATGCACACCGACACATCAGTGTATCTTCTACTAGCCTTCTCAAGAAATACCTCGCTGGCCCATTTACTAGCCGTGTAGCCCACCGTATGTCCACTAGGTGATCCGTCCATGGGTGGGGAATAACTGGCTACCGAGGACTCAAGGAACTCGTCTTTCCCAGATAAGGATGTGACACTGGCGGTGGAAATATAGTGGAAGGGGATGCTGCGGGATGTGCATAGGCTGAAGAGGAATTTCGTGGACTCGACGTTCGCGGCACGCAGCGCAGAGTACGGCTTCAGGAATGATACGTCGGCGCCGTTGTGGATGATGCAGTCGACAGTGGAGGCGAGGTGAGTGATCTCGGCTTCTTTGAGACCGAGAGTCGGATGGGAGAGGTCGCCGCTGTAGAGATGGACTTTGGGGGATGTAAGGTGCTCAAGCCGTCGGGGGGATCCGTCTGCGTTGGGGCGGATTGCTAGGCAGTGGATGCGGGTTATGGAGGGTAATGAGAGGAGGTGAGTAAGAAGAGCAGTGCCGTAGAAGCCCGTTGCACCGGTGAGGATGACCTCTCGGGGTGGATTGGATGGTTGGTGAATGTGAGGATCTAGGATGGTGATGAGGTTGTCAAAGGAGCTGGGAATGGCGGTTTCGGCCTCCCAGTCAATGGTGATGGAAAGTGCTGGGGCTGGTGGAGTCGGGGCTGATGCTCGGTGCGCGCTTGTGGCCGCTCCAATCAACTGGGCCATCTCATTCAGGGTTGAGCATCGGAAGAGATGCACCACGGGTACGCTGACCTTCGTGATTGCTCGAATGCGCCCCTGTAGCCTTAGGATCTGCAGCGAGTTGCCTCCCAGGTCGAAGAAGTTCGACTGCGGTGTGATAGGAAGCCCCGTCACTGGGAGAAGTTCCTGCCATAATTCTTTCAATTTCATTTCAATAATGTTTAGCGCTCCGGAAGTAGGCGTTACGCTTTGCTGATGATGGATCTCGAGTCTAGCCAGGGCTGTACGATCAACCTTGCCGCTGGTGGTCAGCGGGATGCGGTCGATAGCCGTGATAACTGTAGGTTTGGCGTATGCGGGAAGTGGAAGGCCACTACGCAGCGTATTGAGGAAAGAGCCAACACTGGCTGGAGACTCAGAGGTGGAGAAGACCACAAATGCTACGAGGTATGGCTCAGGGTGGCCCTTGACGATAACCGCAGCCTCTCGTAGAACACCCTGGGACGCCTGGACAAGCACACTGGAAATTTCCTCAAGTTCCAGACGCATTCCTCGCAACTTAATTTGGGAGTCCCCTTTCAGTCGCCCGCGGTACTCTAGGTCACCGTTCGGTAGGATGCGGCCGTAATCTCCAGTTTGATAGATTCGGATGCCGTTGAAGACGCGGAAACGGGCAGAAGTCTCGTCTTCACGATTCCAATAACCAGATGATGACACGGCGCCCCCGCTAATACAAATCTCGCCTGGCCATCCAGCGGCTACCGGCTGCATCTGATCGTCTAAGATGTGGATCGCATAAGTTGGCAGTGTTTGCCCAACTGGGATTGGATCGTGACTGCCGTAAAGATCATTTCTCTTGTAGTCAATTTCTCCCATCGTGCAGGCGACAGATGCCTCGCAAGGTCCATACGCGTTGATGAGTCTCAACCCAGCGATATCGAGTCCCGAGAAGCCTTGAAGTGTGCCAGAACTCATTTTCTCCCCACCACATAAGGCATACTGCCAAGATGTGCACTTTCTGAGCACGGAGGCAGCTTCACCAAGCCACAGGGCATACTCGGACGTGACGCCAAGAGTAAGACTGACCTTCTCACGTACCATCAACTCGGCAAGCTCTATCGGATCCTGACGATTGCTGGTCATGACAAGGGTGCCTCCGTGTAGCAGACTAACGCAGACCTGGAACAAGGATGCATCGAAGTTGTGCGAGCTCTGCTGCAAGACGACCGGCTGATCAACGGGGAATACTTGTTGCACTGCTGCAAAATGGCACAGTAAATTATCGTGGCTGAGCAAGACTCCCTTGGGCAACCCGGTTGTTCCGCTAGTATAGATCAAGATGGCCGGGTCCTGCCCGGTAGATCGATCGTAGTCCAGCGTGGCAGGAGATGGAGGCGGCAAATGCATCTTGAGTTCCACAACTTGGGGCCCGTGATCGGCCATGAAATGCTCCAGCCCCGCTTTCGAGCGGCACACTAGAGCTGCGGGACTACAGTCTTTCAGGATGAGGGACAGCCGCTCGACACCATGCTCGAGGTCTGCAGGAACATAGACTGCCCCAAGCCGCCAGATAGCCAACAGGGCGCAGACGGTGTCGACGGACGGCCCGCAGGCTACCACCACGAATGCTCGAGGTTGAACTCCGACTGCGAGGAGAATGTCCATAATGGAGCGCACTCTGCTCTCCATTCCCGCATAGGTGAGTTCTCTCCCGTTAGTATCCTTCAGTGCGACTGTGTCCGGATAAGTTGCGGCGATTCTGGCAATCCACTGGGTAAGCCGATCAGGCTCTTTCTGGATGGCGCTCAACTCCGCCTGGCTCGTGGGCGGCTGACTCGGGGCCTTCAGACACAACGGCTCCAGGCATCGGTACTGCTCTAATTTGAGGTCCGAGTTCAGGGACACGGAGCCTAGTAGTCGCACATAGAGGTCCAACAGGAGCCGAACATCATGCGCGTGGTACAGGTACTCAAGAGCCCCGAAGGTAATGACCGTCGTGCCGTCAGGGTTGTCTCGGACGGTGATGACCAAGTCATGCGGCTGACGAGCATCCTCAGATGTCGCGTACTTCAACACGGCCTCATCAAACATGATGTCGTGCGTGACACCAGCGATGTAGTTGACGACAATATCACAGGGACGGGATGATTTTCCACTACCGTGAGCCTGGCTCAATGCTCCCAGCACGCGAGACCGGGTATCCTTGACTAGGTCTTTGAACCCTTGCGCCTGTTGTGGTTCGAACATCAGCGGCACGACCTCCACCATTAACCCAACGACCCGTTCAAAGCGCGGATCATTGCGATTAGCGTGGGCGATTCCGAGATAGAATCGGTCTACCTCGAGGGTCTGTTGAAGGAGGAGCTGAATGGCAGCTAGGTGGATGTGGAAGGAAGTAGCACCGGTGCGGGAACTGATGGAGCGCACTCGACTAGCGTCGTCTTTGCCTAGGTACGAGCTGACGCGGATGGTCTCATAGCTCGTGCGCGTTCGGGTACGGAATCCTGTTCGAGCAAATGGGAATAAGGGTAGATCGTCGGGCAATTGACCATCTGTGTCTGTTGAAGATGGCCCTTTATTCCATGCGGGTGTAGTAGCTTCGCTGGTCGAATCCTCCTGGTTGCAGAACGCGCTGTATTGAGCGACCACTGGCGACAGACTCTGACGATCCTGGTAGGCAGCAGCAATCTCGCGGAGCACCATTTGCCAGCTCACGCCGTCCATTATAAGATGGTGATAGCCAAAGATGATGGCATGGCGTGCAGGTCCGTGGCTGAGGATAGTGATTGCCATGGTCTGGCCCTTAGCGAGGTCGAACGCTCGGGTTTGCAGGGCTTCGAACTCTGTTGCAATCAGGTCCTTATCATCAATCTTCATACCGACCTCCCTCCATGTAATCTGGGGCTGGCCCAAAATCAGACGCCGGGGAACTTGATCGTGGAGATCGGTGACATAGGCGGTTCGCAGCGACTCGTGCCTCTGCGCGACCTCGGTGACTGCTACTTGGAAGCG